AATAATTATTTATCACTCCTAAAAGCTTCCTTAAAAATTTCTATCATTCAAATACTGGCTGGGGAAAATGTAAAGTACAGACAAGCATATTTTATGCACTTGCTAGTCTAGCTTTTATGCTGATGAGAACTTACTAAACACCAGTAAAGGGAATAGCAGGTATCAGCCCTAATTCACAATTGTGATTTTTTTGGGCCAAACAGATGCCCTTGCAGAATCACAGCCAAATGTTAATGACAGGCCCAGTCCTTCTTCCACTGCAGTCGCTGGTTATTTTGTATGGCTTCAAATGAGACCAGGTTTGCTCCAATGCTCTGAGCGAGCATGCAGCTCTCAGTGAGACACCCGTTGCCACAGGGAGCAGGATAGGGACCTCTAACATCACCCAAAGAAAGGAAAATGTAAATAGGGCACTGTACTTTGCCTCAGGCTTTTTTTGTTTGATGTATAGGAGTTGTCTTTTAAATTCATTTTTCAGTTGATTAAAAATAGTGGGAAGCAGACCTTTAACACGAAACCATCTAAATACACTAAGAGATCTCTTTTAAGAAATATTTAAAATCTCCTCAAAATCTATTTGGTGAATTTTGCCATCACTTACACCTGCACAACAACAGAAAAACTTGGAGCTCCCCCCGCCAGCAGAGGACATGCAAGAAGGGTTGGTGCCCACGTTTACATCCATGCTCCCAGACCCACCCATCAGTGGGAGAGTCAAGAGAGCTGAACGGGCAGGACATCAGCCAAGAGCTTTATACTGCAAAAAATCTTCATCAGGCAAATCCATCCTCATGTCTTTAAAAGGATCCAGGGTAAGAAAATTTAAGCCTGTGTGTAAACATTTGCAAACTGAGGTTTATTTTTTTCTATCTATGCACTCGAAATGAACACTGAAAGGGCAAAACCATCCTAATCTTATCATGGCAATGTCTTTCTCTGCTTCCTAAAGCTGAGATTATCATCTCATTGGTTGTCACACAGCTCCTGAGAGAAGTAATTAACTTGATTTTCCTGTATAATCGCAGCACAGGATTTTATTTCTGTTGTTATTGGAATGGAAAGCGCACATAGCCTGTTCTCTGTCTTGCCCCTTTTAAGTTACTTACAGACCTGGATGTGGCAAGCTTCAAAACACCCCAACTACACTAAGAAAGCTAAATCTGTGCTTAATGTGAGTTTGAAGCAACCTGCTTGCTAGCAACTCTTCTCAAGAAAGGCAGGAAAATTTCCTGGTTTAAATTTCTATTCAAATGAAGGCAATGAAGACAGAAGACCGCAGAACTGTTGCCATTGCTTTCCAGCACATAAAATTAACAATTTGTGCTGCTGCGTGCGACTTCCAGTCAAAGTTTGTCTGATTTATAAGCAAGCAGATGGTTCACACGATAGTCCACAATAAATTACAACAGTTAGAAAGACAGCTACATTTTGAGAGTGACAGTGCAGCTGAGCTACAGATGGGTTTATAGATGACCCTTCCAATTTTTAATAATCTCCATAATTTATGTGCAAGTAAAGAAATGCAAGGATTCCTAATGCACCTTCTTGACTAAGTACAAATCACTTTTATTTACACAGGCAATACTTCATGGTCCAGTTAACTTCTTAATTAAAGGCAGCAAGATGCTCATGTTCCATGCAAGTGGCATGGAAAATACTGTTTAGTGTGCAATATGTTGAGCTGGGAGTTTAAGATGCTCTGATCGCTCCTGGAAAAGGGAATGCATCTATCTCATTTCTTTAAGACAAGACTACAAGGGTGCAAACACTGCTACTACCAGTTACTATTCATTAACCTCCAGATAAACTTTAGTCTCATACAGCAACAACGTTATGTTTATTTGCAAGCTCGGATGCTTAGAAATAGGGTCCCAATCCAGGAGGCACTACAGAGTATTACTGAGCCAGGACTAGAATTGGGAAACAACAGGAACAGAGACCCTCGTTACATGAAGAGAGAGGGATTTGGAGGATCGCTCTGGAATGGGTGAGGGAAAAGGAAAGTGAGCCTGGAGGGTGCCATTCACAAGACAGGAGGCAGGGGCAATGCAGAAAGAAACTGGCTGGGAGCAGCTTTAAGCAGCCAGTTCATGCCAGTGATCTTAATGACCACTTCTCCAGTAACAGGACCGAACCACTTTGGTCCAATCCTTCTGCTAACGTTTTTGAAGGGACTCCCAGGAAGATGCCCTTGTTGGGTTGTCATCAACTGCATGCCACAGTACAGCAGACTCAGTTCTTCTTGGCTGTAATTTCAGCTGCAATGAGCTATCTTCCAAAAGGAGCACAGCTAAATGCAGCTACCCTGTCCAGAAGGTGATGGAGGGGGCAGGCAGTACCTACTAGAGCTCTTTAAGGCACAAACTACATAAGGTCAGAGGCACTCGTCATCTCTTGGGATGACATTTGAGGGCTTTTCCTCCTCTCTAAACCCCGGTCTTTCATTCCCACCAAATGAATTTGAAGAAGAAATCCACTTTTAAATGGAAATCCCAAACTATCTTTAAACCAGAAGGCACAGCTCCTAGGAAAGCAACACTGTGGGGTACTTTTAATTACCACCTCCCTGGGACTTAAAGAGATGCAGCAGAGAAGAGGCACCGGTGACAAATTCAGGCTTTCCAGAATTATCACAATTCATGTTTTGGAGATATTTTGGCAGGGATTGCTCAGCTCTGCCCACAGCAGGGCCGCGTGGGGAGCAGCACTGCTGAGACACACGGGTGGGAAAAACCACACCCGGGAGGTGACGGGGCTGCAGCCGCTTCCACAAAAAGCAGTTCTTCCCCTGCCGTTTCCATGCTGCACCAACACCCCTTCAGCTACTACACAGAATGATAGTGAAATTAATTTCTTTTTTAAATGAAAGTCTTCTATAAATAATCATCATCTGAAAGTCTTTTGAGCTTTATATAAAACCATTATCTATTACTGTACACAACTTTTAGGCTGTTTAATTAAACTTATGAGAAATATTATATGTCAGCTTATTTCTGGGATGCTCTTTACTTACTGTTATTTGTCATATTGTTTCTGTTACACTTTGCATATTTAAAGCCGCATTAAGCACTTCTGAAAACCCAGAGAAGATTACTATGGAATTAGCATGGATGTTCATCTGTACTACTGAGTGCTGAGTTTGGCACTTTATTTTAGCAATATTCATCAAGTTCAGGAATTGCCAGTATCCTTCCCTCCAAGAGAATACTGGGTCATGCTACTGTTCTTTAAAAAAATACAGTGTCAATTATATAATAATATGTTTAAATATTCCATAACTATCATCCTTTGATTGACTGCAATTCTTTCATTTGCTTACAAGGGGCCAAACTGACACATAGCACGAGAAAGCAGAAGTTGACTGAAATCAATAGGATCGTCCCTGTTGCACCCAGCCCAACAGTAATTCCAGCATTATCGTGAGCAACCTGAAAGCCAGCACAGCCTATTCCAGTGGAGTTTAACCCCACTGAGAAGTCAAAGAAAGCATGCATATGGTTTATGCAACTGTATAGTTAATAAAGTTTCCAGGACTCATCTACTGAAGCCGGCAGGGATGCTCCAACTCACTAGGCTGTAGATCAGACCTTCTGGCTTGCAACTAGATCCTTTTCTGGCTATCAGCAGAAATAATCCTGGAGACAGGATAATAAATGGAACACACACAAAGGCCTTACTTTATATTTCTTGCTCCTTGCATTCATTACACTGTCGATGGTGTGGAAAGTAGTTTCATAACCTCAAGAAGGAGACGCCTTTTGTCCCCCCTGCTGTATTAAAATGTAGATCAATATGATAATACGTAAACAGTAAACTCCCCACTAACAAGAAGTGGGTCTCAGTTCTCTTAGTAATCAAGTATTATTTCCAGCAATCTAACTAGAGAAAAAGAAATGTAAGTAGCAATTTGTCAGCCTATTTATCAAACCGAATGCTGCACCTTTTCCACACATTTTACATTATGAAGTGCATGACATGTAAGGTTCTGCAGTTCTGTTTTAATTCAGGGATGAAAACATTTATAGATATGAACGTTTTCTCATTAACTTTTCTTCCTAAATTATTATGCTTGTTCAAATCAATTCCTAGCCATCTTACAGAGGTTACAACCTTCAATAATTAAATCGGATATTGTATCGGATGTTGTGTTGATTATGCTACAAGTTCCAATTCCTACAAGACCACTGAAATGCTGAGATAAAGGGACGTTAACTTTATTTAATTAGCTATCTGCCATTGTTATCAAAATGAAAGGTTAGTATCTGACTCAAATTAACACTTTGGATCGGGAAACAAGATAGATGACATCTTGTGAGAAGGATCCTGGAAACTCTCTCTAATCGTTTCAGTTATTTTAAAGCTGCTCAGGACAAACAGGATTGCATTAGAAAGAGCAAAAAAGTCACCGACAGTCAATGAAGTGCTGCTATGAAAATGCTATTTCAATCACACTTGGGCTCTTTCTCATTTTCAGTTGTTAACATCCTTGCCACTTTTGTCAAGCAGTCTCTCCTAGCAGTGTTGAATTTTAACTGCCATAATTTTAAAACAGAACATGAAATAGGACCGAGCAGGTAATATGGGTTTACAGTGCCAGCTAACAACAGATCAGGCCCCTGTGCCAAGGCATCACCTCCCTGCAGAAAGGGAGTAACTAGTTAAACGTGAGCTGGATTTCATAACTGCCTGCCATCACTCTACCTCAGAAACATCAGGTCTCTCAGATGAACTCAGATGGAGACAAAAAGACAGTGTGACTTCTCAGTGGTCCTGGAACCATTTTAACTACAAACTAAACCCATGCATATCAACCTTGCAGCTGCCCAGAGGATGTAGTACCCAGATGAGGTACCCCGAGGACACCCACTGTCTCACTCCCCAGATTACATTTGTATAGAGTGGCCACAGTAACTGATCCGATAACCAAGCCACCCTGCCACTTCATGGGTTCTTACAGTCAGGGCTACAGAAACGTGCTTATTCCTTTCCCAGCAACTTACTGGTCTTGACCGGATTTCTTTGGCGTAGAGAGGTTTCAAGAATTCTGAATCTCCTTCGAGCTTTAGACCCTTTTCTGTGATTCTCAGGTTCCCCATTCCGTCCTAAAACACAGATAAAAAGAAACAACCCCATTAGTTACAATTACTAAATTCACCAGGCAACCAATAGCTGATTTTTTTCCCCCATAGAGGAGAACACGTAAAGCACTGGGAGGCACTAGAGAATGCAATTACTTGTGTTATCTTTTTAGCTCTGTTTCTGTGAAAAAAATTTCTATTCAGAGCAATCTGCAATGCCCCCCAGTAAACCATTTACACAGATGAAAGATGTTCTTTTAAGCTAGTCATCTCTGCTCAAAGAAACGCAGCGATGCTTTGTGTTAACAGGAAACTATTCACTGTAATATTCACCGTCTGCCTGTATATTAATATACCTTCTCATTCATAGCAAATCCATATAAAGACTACGTGATTAATTCTACTGAACTCCCTATAGAGAATATGTGATTAATTCCACTGAATCGACAAAATAAGGTTTGGCTATGTAGGAGTGTTGCAATAAATGTGGGAGGGAACTTGACCCCTATTATTTGGGGAAATCTCTGCAAAACACAGACTTTTTGTGGGGTTTATTTAGGGCTATCAGTCCTTACAGCAAGAAGACGTGGAAACCTGTTGATTAGTTTCAAGTCTCACAGTCTTTCCTGTGCTTTCAATGTTGTTAAGATGCTACACAGCTTTACTGGAATACACATTTATGCAAATATTTGCTGTGGGAGAAGCAACTACACAAAGAAATATCTTTCCAAGATTGCTCTCCTGTCTTGGGCTAACTCCTGACTTTTCTCTCCCACAATGTTCAGCTCAGGATCAGAGCCCTCGCTCTGGCTGTGCTCAAGCACATCCCAGCAATCTGAACCTCTATATCCAAATGTTTGGGTCTCCTGAGCCATTCTCCTGCCCTTCAAACAACTGTTGGAAAGTCCATTGGCTGGGCATTACATGACTGATGTAACATGTATTTCTGTGTCCTCCTCATTCGGATTTCACTGTTGCAGCCCTCAGTCCTCACCCTCTCCCCAGCCCTGCACCCGGCTCCCCCAGTCCCCATCGCTGCCTGTGCTTCCATGGCAAAAATATTCTTGACAAATGGTGTGAAGTGTTGGCTGCAGGCCTCCAGCAGATGACCGTAAATAGTCCATTTTCTTTAGAAATTGTTTAGTTATGTGTGTCCAAGATGTAATGAAACATCTGACAAACCATAATAGCAAACAAAATATATGTCAAAATTTTCTACAAGTTTCTCTTATGGTTTTTATGCAATAAGGCAGGTATACAAACACACTGGCACAAAGCAGAATTGGACCAAACTATATTTCACCTTTAACTTGTGAAAGTCGTAACTTTTAATAAGATGAGGGATTTAGGTTTACTTAGGCTATAATTGCTTAGAAAGGGGAGTGTGTGTGTAAGAAACATGGCATGGGTAGGGAATTGCACAGGTAAATGAATAATCAAAACCACATCAAATGCAAGGTATTATTTCTAAGATTCAGGGTGATTGTCGAAGTCTGCAAGGATTGAGGTAAATTGGTGGTTTTTTTGAGAAAAAGATGGTCTGAAGAATACCTTTTAGCATAAATTTGAGTGACATCACTAGGATTTGAGACTGACGCTAGCAAAAGCTATGGCTTCACATGTATAAATTAAGATTGGGAAATGACCAAGAGTTGTGTCGTCAAGAACTGCCATGACAATACTCAAACATACCCTTTGAGGAATCTTTCCACCTGTTTTTTTTCCCCATTTCTCCAGGCTAGAGAAGCAGAAGGACGATGCTATATGATGCCCCAGGCCTCCAAGATAAGGCAGGATACAATAATCACAAAATGGTCAATAGCTGGAGCTCAGCGTGGGGAGGACATTGCAATGAGGCACTTACAGCAACAGGATTCACGTTACTGTGAGAGAAACATTGAAACCAAGGGTCATGCAGGCCACAGGGTGGCAGGAGTAGCAATTTGGAGGAATTGCTGATCTGTAAATGTAGACTTGCCATACTGACTCCACGGCATCTCATCATGCAGTTTAGGAACTTAGTCAGTGGAACCGAGCTGCTGCCTTCTCAATTGCTGCTAGGCATGTCCTTAAACACTGAAGTCCAAATTGAAAACACCACCTCAGCACCTACCTCACAGCTATTTTGGGGGGTTTAGAGGAAAGGGGTATGTACTTGGTAGAAGCCCTAAGAAGATCAAGAGAAGATTGGGAAAACCCAGGAAAACCAGGTGCATTTGGATAGAAGTCTTGCACGTTTTCTAATCCAGCTGCAAAAAAAACCCCACATCTGTCTACTTTCTCTTCCTCCCATTGCATGTTCACCTCCAGCGCTGCAAGAGGAATTACTGTCACTAAAGGCGAACGGCTAACTGAACCAGATCTGAATGAACTATTGCCAAAAAGCATGTATTTGGAGGGACAAAAAAATCAAAGACGCAGCATGGCTCAGCAGTGACACTGGTCACTTGCCAGAGGTTCTCCTGTTCCAAGAAGTACCACTCCGAGGGGGTACCCTGCCAAGTAAAGATCGTTTTTGCCAGAGCGTGGTGTCTTATGAACAAAGGCAGGCACAGGAGTGCTGGGCAATAAAATGACTGCTGTCATCTCATTTTGAAATGAAAGCTGTAAGTAAACTTTAAATAGAGACATATGCTGAAAACGCTATTGATTGTTGAAGGGAGGGGAATGAGGGATGGGTCATAAAGTGCCACTTGCTACATTCCTTGTCCCGGGTGTAAAATACCAGCTTATGAATTCTGGGTTGGTGGTGGCACAGAAGGGGTTCATTTATCTCAAGCAAAAGGATGAAGGAAAATGAGTGAAATATGATTATGCTCCAAAGAACCCAGATTAAATTTTGATAGTGGTATGCTTTGCGATTTGAGTGAACGGGAATTATTACAGCTATCTGCAGACCCTCACACATTTTATGCTGCTAAAAAAACTCTAAATTTTTTTTTCCCAAAATAGATTATTTCAGTAAGGTTACAAGCCTTGAGGGCTTTCGCATTGCAGGTTCTCCTCTGGTTTCATTAAGACAAGTTGCAGGTCATGTGAGCTGGTATATGCCACATAGAGCTGCAAGAATGACCACCTCTGCGGATACACAATCCTGACCACTGCCAGGGCTCGCTCCTGAGCTGAAGTGGGGCAATACTCTACCAGTAACACAGACCAATGGATAAAGGGACTTGTCAAGTCAGCACTGATGCCATGGCAAACCAGCAATTTCAACATCTCACGGCAATATTCTATCACGAGTAGTGGTACAGATCCAGCATTCCACCCCACTCTTCTCTTGCATGTTTCTCGTCCTCTCTCTCCTTCACCCTCCATCTTCCAAGTGTCCCTCACAGGATTTTTATGTATGAAAAACACACATATGGGACCTTTAGCTCACAGCTAGCAGGTCCTATACATCCCCAAACAGGTATCAGGCCTATGGGACAATGTACTATAACCAAAGTTGTACAATCAAGAACACATTTGATTTATATCATATAAGCAGGCATATTCTCTTACAAAACCACTGGGCTGGAGAAAAAGAGACACTTCTCCATGTTATTCTTCTCAACCTTTGATCCTTCTCAACCTCCAATCCCCACTCACCTTCTCCTCCTCCTGCAGCTGCCAAAACTAATAAAAGCTGGACCCACCAGAACATCATCTCTTGCCTTCCCTGGCATTTGGGATTGGAATGCAATGCTTAGCACTGACTCCTACCATGAATAACTCTCTGCTGCTCCTGTTCCTCATGATTAAAGATGACAGCTTTTTGTAGTGACAGTATGGGTCAGCAGGTCAAAAAACAAGCAGAGGTTGCAATCTGAGTTTAGAGTTAACGAATATCCTGGCCTCTTCTAGTGCGATCATTATTAAATCATATTCATTTATTATTTCCCATTAGAAAAAAAAATAAGCAGCTTACAGAGTTATATAGATATCCCAAAATACAGATACATTAGAGAGAAATCGTATGAAAGAGTACTTTGCATGTTTTTTGGATAAAGCATCTTCATCCTCCCTAAATTAGATGGTTTAATAACAAATAAATGTCGTACTCTGCTACAGAGAATATCTATGAAAGTTCCTATGGAATTTCATGGACCGTGACCTATAAAATGTAGCAGAAAGCTGGCCAGAGCGACAGAGACCATGAGATTTTATTAAACATTGTGCCAGTGATTGGTCTATGTCCTTATCTGCCACACTTATTGACTATTCAATCCACTGGCATCTGACAATCTGTTTCTCCCCTTTTTCTTAGTAGCCTCCTCGCTGGGGAATGAATGACTTGGTCGTGCAGGCACTAACCAGCTCTGTGGAGCTTCCAGGAGGCAAGCACCACACAGGAGGCACAGGGTTGGGAACTTTCCCTCACCACCTGCTCTGAATTATCCGGCTTTTTGGTAGGGCACGGTGAAAACTTTCACATCAATTTTATCATCTACGCTGCGTCTCTTTTTATACAATGCCTTGTAATGGGCAGGCATAAAAATTTATGTGCTGTTGCTGACTGCTCTGTGTTGAAAGGGGAGAGCAATGGTAAAATCCTGAATAACATAAATGTCATTTTGGTGATGCTCAATGAGAAAGGATTATTTTTTTTTATTAGCTTGAGAAGCAACTCAGTTTAACAATCAATTACAAATGATGGTGTTAGTGTTAGGGGAAGAGCCCAGTGTTGCTGCTGTGTGATCACCAAGGCTCCTCTCGGCCTTGTGGTAGGCACTGTGGCTACTCATGTGGGTAAAGCTTCACTTTTTTTGTGTTTTCCTTTTTAACAGTTGTATTACTTTAATTTTTTTTTTTAAAACTGTATGGCTGGTATCAGGGAGATTCAGCTAATAGCATAAGAAAAAACAGCCAACCTAACTAGAGACACGTAATTGCTATGGTGAATACCTGGGAGCGGCATTAGCTGCACCAAGCTGGCCTGCTCACACACAGGACCGGGGTAATTCCCAGTGCTGGCTGCCACCCACGGGCAGCTTTATTAGACCAGGCTGGGCTTGTGCCACAGCCTCACCCAGTCAAGAACC